ACATAGGGAGTTTTTTGACAGCGGGCGACTTTCTTGCGGGCAGTATCTTGTCGGTGCTTAATATCATAATATTATATGCTTTGGTGGCATTAGCTGGGCACTTGTTATAACCAATTTTTAACCAATGTAAAAACAATGTGTAACATTTCTCTGGTTTGATTAGATGGAGCGACTTAGAAAATCTTAGATGGAGCGTCTTTGGTTATATACCATGGGTTATACATTGTTTTCACATTGCCATTGTGTTTTTCGTGTTGTGACGTTGCACCGCGCTTGGTGCAAAATTTCGCACTATTTTAATGTTTTTGAACGTAAAATGTGAAAAAAAATAAAACTGAAAAAAAATAAATAGGCAAGAATGTTCGTAGCCACAAGTTTGGAGAGGATCCGTTGAGCGGTGCGGAAACGTATAGCCGGACACACACACACACACACACACACACACACACACACACACACACACACACACACACACACACACACACACACAGAAAATCTCCAATTTATAGTAAGATTGTTCGATGTGAACATACACTCGTGACTCATACATAGCCCATAGCAAGCAATTAATGTCAGGAACACTAATATCAAATGATTAATCGACCAGATTTTTTGGATTATTAACTAGTTGAGAAACAATCTTATCAGGTAAGAATTTGACGATACGTTTAGTCTCGTTAGTTCTTACTTTTAATGTAAAAAAATGGCAACATTCCTGACGTAGTCAATTTAATTGTTTTTAATTAATTTAGAAATATTTTAATAACATTTTCACACAGTCCACTGTCCGCAGACAGCATTTTACCCACATTCCACATGATATACATGCAAGACGGCAGAAAAATTAACAAAAAAACAACAACGTGTACGAATACATGTATAATCCAGAGCAAAAGCTTTAATAATATAATAAATAATATACGGTCAAGACAAAACAGGTATTGTACTTGTAAAGTCTTACAGACTTCTCCCGTTCCTATTCGCCATGCGATGTAGCGCGGACTATTATAAACACGGACTGCACTACGAGGACCTAATATGTTCAGTGCCGGATTAACCATTAAGCAGACTAAGCACGTGCTTAGGGCACCAGGGCCAAAGGGGGCACCACAAAGTTGGGAAAAGAGTGAAAAGAAAAAAAAACGAATAAAGATTTGTACTTCCCAGGTGTACCACAAGGGGCCCCCAACAATACAATACAATACAAGGGGCCCCTAATGCCACCCAACAAAGTAGGCCTACTAATTCCCAATTATCAGAAAGTGAAAGGTACTCAAAGACTTGTCAGACACTCATTGATGCTTATCCAGATGACATGAACAGCACTTTGTCTACAGAGCTTCAGCAGTTCCATTCATATGTTCTTCATAAGTTTAAAACAACCAAGAAAACATCTTTCACTCACATGGAACTTTACAACACAATTACAGAAGACAAACTAGAGAGTGCCTTTCCAAATGTTGAAATTGCCTTAAGAATATTTTTAACATTAATGGTCACCAACTGCACAACAGAGAGGTCTTTCTCACAACTGAAACGTGTAAAAAAAAAAATTTGGTCAGACAGGTCAACAACTAAAATGGACTGGGTCAGTGTGGAAAGGAGGGGGCACCAAGATTGGACAGTGCTTAGGGCACCAGTGAGCCTTAATCCGCCCCTAAATATGTTATATACTGGAACCACAACATTTTAAAGACTGACTCCAGCTCGTACAAGGCCAGCTGTCCCTGGACCTGGACCTGTTTTGCTTTTCGCGCACTCTTTTGGTTGCATGTTGCGCAATTCACTGTCAGCTGTACTACCCGGAAGTAGTATATCCGTAGCGCCACCTACGGGAATCATGTTGCGATAACTCTGATCGCGGAACCGAGCCATTATAGTTTTAATTAATTTGGGAAGAAAATGAATGATTATGAGGCATGACAATAATCTACTGAGTAAACTACTGAGTAAACACAGTCGATGTGTGAAGTTCTCAAAAAATTATATGTGATAACGAATGCTAGTTTTAGGTATACAGTAGTTCGTTACTGTATTTATATTTAGTATAGGCCTACTCTCAGTCGAAAACTGACAGTTCTAAGTTAAGTTGACACTGAGAGTCAGATAGTTTACCAGACTAGTTGTTACTGCGATCTACTCATCCTTGAGTGAATCTGGTAGTTTCAAAATAGACTACTCTTAATCTCGAACCCTAGTACAAGTTTATTTATTTCGGGAACCGTCCGAACCGATTTAAAAGTGCTTGCTCCGAAGTAACTAGCTTGTAAACTTGACACGTCTAAAAACGTTAGTCTAGTAAATTCACACTAGCGGTTGGGTATAGAGCTTACCAGCTTCGACCAGAGCTTTACAGCGATCCACAGCCCCATATTGAGTTGCCTTCACTATATCAAATTGGCTGTAGTCTAGTTCAGATGGCTCGGCATATAATGCTGCCACTGCCACTGGTTTCCCAGTTGACATCTTAGGGCATCAGTCCTATAAATATTTAATGTAAGGTTATGACACGACCATATTTATACATCCAATACTAGGGCTGAGAGGGTCTATGTCCCCCGGGGTACTGCCGGAGCGTACCCTGGGTACGGTCCGGTATACCGGAACGTACCCTGGTACTATCTAATTAGACCGAATAATTCTGTCCCATATAACCTTTTTTATATTTTGGTGCCCAGCAAACACGGAACATTCTCGTAACATTCGCTGGAGGTTCTAGTTTGGTTACATTAGCCAAAAATATTCCAAGAACATTCCCATATCGTTATGCATTTATTGGTTTTACTTGGTGAAAGAGTTATGTTCTTGGAATTAGACCGGGAGCCCAGGGGGGTCAACCTAGCTGGAAAGGAAACCAATTTTCATGCATATAGCAATGATTCGTGTACATACCCGATGTAAGGAAATGAAGTCTGCGCAGCAGCCGCCTGGTGGCACGTGTGGTCAGTCGGGCGTCATTTGAAAGGCACCCCAAATTGAGCCTAGATTAGCTGCGCAAAGGAAAACCCCATGAACCTATTGGAAAAATGGTTCGGCATTGAGTGCCATGTGTCAGGAGATGGACAACATGCCAGAATTTTTAGTGGTGTAGTGCGCATTGCCGACCAGAAACTAAAAAACCGAACCCAAAAATTGCAGCTAAGATTAGCTGGAAAGGAAACCTTCTGGCCACGCATTGGAAAATGTTCAGCCATAGCTCCCAGGTATCGTGAATGGCCACTGCCAGAATAATTTCAGTGGTGGCGTGTATCCGCCAGACGCCCCCAACTGCCCCCCACCCCCTAAATTGAGCTAGATTTAGCTGCCGAGAAGCGAAACCCCATGAAGACCTATTGGAAAATGTTTGGCATCAGGCTCCCAGGCCTATCAGGAATGGCAACACTGCCCAGAATTTTTTAGTGGTCGGGGCCGCATGCCGCCAGAGCCCCTTAAAAAACCGTTATCCCCAAAAGATTGAGCTAGATTAGCTGCGAAAGCGGAAAACCTTCTGGGCCACCCATTAGAAATGTCCGGCATAGCCTCAGCGTATTCGTGAATGGCCACTGCCAGAATAATTCAGTCGTGGGTGTATCCGCCAGACGCCCTCAACTGCCCACCCAAAAATGATGAGCTAGATTAGCTGCAAAGGAAACCTTTTGAAACCCAACTGCGGAAATGTTTCGGCTTAGTCGCAGCGTATCCTGATCGGCCACTGCCCAGAATAATTCAGGGGTGGGTGCTCATCCAGACGCCCTAACTGCCCCACCCGCGGCCTTCATTATTTAGATAATTAAAATCTCAGCAAGTTAGATAATATTGTCTATTATCTACTTCTTGCATTGCTGCGATAGGAAAACCACTGATCCATCGCTGTCAACTTTGCTTCTCTACCTTATTCTTTTCATGTTGTTAATTTCAGGAATAGAATCTTAGTTCAACAAATCTCGAATGTACAACACAATTGATTTCGATTGAAACAAACATTATTCCCTTATATAAAGCCACTTCTTCTCACCCACTTTCATTTTTCATATACAGTGTATATCATAGTGGTTATATATACGAGTATAGTCCACTGCAGCGACCCCCTTCAGTGGGGACTAATAATGCCAAAGCCGAAGAAAAAGAAGAAGTGTCTGCAAAATCATGCGGACAAGAAAAAATTACACTGAGATAGTTTCTCTCATAAAGCCATACGGCAAATAAAATAAAAATAAAAATAATTACTCACAAGGTCAGCATCACAAGGTATTGACACAAAGGTATTTGATTTATATAAAATGAAAACATCACTATGCAGTTCATTTACAATTCCAAATCACAGTATTCTGCCTTCCAATTTAGCATCCAGTAATTAAACACATTTTTTATTATTCATTTACAGTCAGCTACTCAAGTATTTTCAAAAATCCATTTAATATCAACTATTCAAATTTAGTTCAAACCAGTCATGCTTTTAATTGTCATTTAATCATATTTGCATTTCTGAACTTTACCCCTTGCAGACCCCCAGAAAAAGCTGAAAAGTACAAGTTGTCTAATTAAAAAGTTTCTCAACACCATAGCCAATATTAAGCAGCCGGCTATATAGACCAAACTTTGGCATCTAGCATTCTTATAAAATTTGTTGTTTCTACAAGGATCTCCCCGTCATTCCACCTCCAACATCAGGAGTCTTCATCACTCCATGCCTTTCACCATCTGAATCGCCCCTCGGGGGAGTGGACGTTCCAACATCGGAATATGTTCTGTCACCTTTCAACGTCCATCGTCCTCTGGGCTGGTTATTGGTCATTTTTAAATAAGCTTGCGTACGGCCGGACCTTGAACCATGTGGCTTCAATAGGTTGTCCTTCGTAAGACCACCCATAATCGACGTTGGTGATTAAAACGCCGTTCCCAGGAGATTGCTGTCCAGGCACTCGTGTCCACAACGCGGTAACATAATGCTGTTCGTCTACCTTTCATCGCTGAGGGTTCGACGAGAAGGTGCGAGCAAACCACAGTCAACCCGCCTTTGACGATTTTGCCAGTGGAATTTGGACATGTGTGTGTGTGTGTCGTGTAGATGTGTGTGTTGTGGCTGTCGTGAAGCGTGTAGTGTCTGCCGTCAGTGCGTGGCGTGGCGCGTGAGTGACGTGAGCTTGTGTGTGTGGTAGTGTGTGTAATGTGTGTGTTGTAGTGTGTGGTGTCCCGCGCGCAGTGTGTGGGCCTGTGTGTGTGGTGTGTGGCGTGTGTGTTTGTGTGTCTTTGCATCTCGCAGAGCGGCGACGTGTGTATATATCTCTCGCTCTCTCTACTCTCTCTCTCTCTCTCTCTCTCTCGGCTCTCTCTCTCTCTCTACTCTCTTCTATCTCTCTCTCTCTCTCTCTCTCTTCTCTCTCTCTCTCTCTCTCTCTCTCTCATCTGGTGTGTGGCCTTGTGTGTGGTGTGTGTGTGGTGCCGCCGCGCGCGCCGTGTGTGTGTGTGTGTCTGTGCATGTTGCGCTGCGTGGCGTGCGCGCGCGTGCGTGCGGCGGTGTGCGTGGCGTGCGTGTGTGTGTGCAGAAGCCAGAGAGACGTTGTGTGTCGTGTGTAGTGTGTGTGTGTGTGTGTGTGTGTGCGCGCGCGCGCTGTCTCTCTCTCTCTCGCTCTCTCTTCTCTCTGTGAGTGTGCGTGTGTGCTGTGTGTGTGCTGCGCGCGGTGTGTGTGTGTGTGTGTGCCGTGCGTGGCGTCGATGTGCCGTGAGTGGGTGAGAGAGTGTGTGTGTGCCGTGTGTGTAGTGTGCGCGCTCGCGCGTGTGTGTATCGCTCTCTCTCTCTCTCTTCTCTCTCTCTCTCTCTCTCTCTCTCTCTCCTCTCTCTCACTCTCTCTCTCTCTTCTCTCTGTGTGTGTGATGTGTGTGCGCTGCGGGCGTGCGGGCGTGTGTCGTGTGTGTGTTGTGCACGTGCGCGTGCTGTCCGGCTGATGTGCCGGTGCGCGTCTGCGTAGCGTGCCGTGCGCGTGTGCTACGTGCGGTGCTGATGTGTAGTGAGAGAGAGAGAGTTGTGTGGTGTGTGTGTGTGAATGGTCCTATGCGCGGCGCGCGCCGTGTCTACTCTCTCTCTCGTCTCTGTGAGTGTGCGTGTGTGTGTGTGCTGTGTGTGTGTGTCAATGTGTTGTGTGTGTGCGCGCGCGCGGTCGTGTGTGTGTGTGTTGTTGTGTTGTGCGTGCGTGCGTGACTACAGCCCGGTTGTTGGGTGACGAGAGTGTGGTGCGTGCAGTGTGTGTGCGCGGGCCCGCGTGTGTGTATCTCTCTCTCTCTCTTCATCTCTCTCCTCTCTCNTCTGGCGGCATTTTCGATTTTCCATGATAAAAAAAATGTATATTTTTCCCACATTAAATATTCACATCTATTAAATCTTCGTATCTATGAAATTCAACCCTTTTATAAATACACGGATAATTATCATCGTTTTAGTTCAGATTTGTCACGTGTATGTCTTGGCTAGGTGTTAATGTTTTTACACGTGTAGTCCGTAATCGAACGCAGCCGCATGCTGGCGTACAGTGTGAGAAGGAAACAAATTTGAAATTTCTTCTAATTACGAGAGATGAAATGTTTTTTCTCCAGATTTCAAGTATCGAAAAGCACAATATATCACTAGCAATGGGCAACCATCAATCCACTGCAGTTAGGAAGACGACCGAGAGACCACCAACGAGAATAGGCAGATTACTAGCGTCCCTCACTGGTTACATCTTACTAGGGGCAGCTCGACAGACCGCAACAATCTGGGCAGCTATTCACGGTCACACGGATACAGTCACAGCGTTATTAGATGCGGGCGCTAACATAGAACACGCGAACGTTTATGGCAGGACTGCAGTAATAGCAGCAGCTGCTAACGGTCATACAAATACGATCACAGCGTTGTTAGGTGCAGGCGCTAATATAGAACACGCGGACATAAGTGGCTGGACCGCAGTAATAGCAGCAGCTGGTTACGGTCACACGGATACGGTCACAGCGTTAGTAGGTGCTGGCGCTAACATAGAACACCCGGACGTGATTCGCAGCACCGCAGTAATAGCAGCAGCTATGCGCGGTCATACGGATACGGTCACAGCGTTACTAGATGCGAGAGCTTACATAGAACATGCGAACGATTATGGCTACACGGCAGTAATAGTAGCAGCTGTTAACGGTCATACGGATACGGTCACAGCGTTATTAGGTGCAGGCGCTAACATAGAACACGCAGATGTCGATGGCTACACCGCGGTAATAGCAGCAGCTGTTAACGGTCATACGGATACGGTCACAGCGTTATTAGGTGCACGGTCATACGGATACGGTCACAGCGTTATTAGGTGCAGGCGCTAACATAGAACACGCGGACGTGAATGGCTGGACCGCAGTAATAGCAGCAGCT